TTGATGCCTAAAAATATGTTGCAGATAGTTTGAACATATATTGCGTTTAAATGTGAACACAAATGATGAGATGATAAAATGACATTAATAATATATACCTTAAAAATATCATTGTAATCATTGTTCAGTGTGGCCAAAATAGTTGCAGCACAAAAGCGGCTTTGATCAGGTGCAGCACAATTTCTTTTTAATAGCCGTAATATATAAATACACACAGATGTAAAGATGTACACAAACATTGAGAATAACTTCTTTGTCAAATGTACATATTTTCTATGTTCTGTTTACTATTATAAAAGTGGGTTTTATTAAACAACAACAAAAAAAAAACTTTTCAAAATTGTTGCTTTTTTAATTTTTTTTTTTTCTTGTTTGTTCTTTACGTCAATCAACCTCCCCTCTCTTTATACTCTCTTTTTAACTTTTCTCTTTGCACCTCAATAATACCAATTTTTGATACACCTTTTTCCTTTGATCATCTTTTTTTCTTTTCTCATTTTTTTTTTTATGTGCCTAAAACATTTATTTGTTTGAAAAAAAAGGAATTAAAGCGAAAAGGTTTTTTTTTTTTTTGAATACAATGTTGCATATTCTATATATTTAATGTTTGTGTAGAATTTGTTGTATGTGCTCTTACAGTCAACAGTTAACATTATTCTACATCATAAAGCATTTTAGCTATTCTTTTTGATTTCTTCTTTTTTTTTTTTTCAATTTTTTTCTGGCATTTTTCTGCGGGACTTTTTTTTCCTTTTTTAGTCATTATAGTCTGCTTTTTCTTGTTGTCGGATTTTAAAAAATGGAAGAAGAAAAAGCAAAAATAAATGAGGGAAAAAATAAAATAGTTGCATGTATGAATCTGACTTTTTTTGTTATCATTTATTTTGGATTAATTTGTGTTAAGCTTTAAAAAACTATTTTTTGATTGTTTTTAACTTTATAAAAAACACAGCACAAATCAATTGGAGTGAAAACAAAAAAGGAAAGAAGAAATTTGTTTTTTATTGTTTATTTTTTGATATTCATTTCTTCTATTATAAATTTTTATTGTTTTTTTTTAACTATTTGAAATTGTTTTCTTTTTTACAAATATATGTACGATGCTTTGAAATAAGAGAAGGCAGAATTTTTTTACGAATGGTACTTGTTTCATTTGGACAAATTTGGTACTTTGTTGTTTGTTAAACAGTAACCGTAATAAAACTAATGATAACAATAAGAATGATAGTTATTGGAAGATTACTATGAATAATGGCATCAGCAATAGCAACAGTGACAATAATAATAATAACGGTAAAATAATTTAGAAATTTTGTTACCTGTGGAAATATAGAAAATTGGTAGATCTGATCTAATAAAATCATTTTCTTTAAAATTCTTGTTCTTATTAGGAACTTAGTTGGTCAGCAACTAAACCTTATTTAAATTATATGGAATAAAAGCAGCAGCAGCAGAAGCTGCATTATTACTGTCATTACTAATCATTACTCCAAAAGAACAGAAGGGAATATAGGAGAAGAAAAAAGAAAAACAAAGAAGTTAAAGTTAATTGTTTTTTTATTTCTTCAATTAATTATTCATATTTAATTGGCATATCATTTTGCAAGGGTTAAGACAAATAAAAAAAATGTTTTGCAAAAAAATTTCATTTTAATTAAGAAAGCCTCTTGAGAGTAAAAAACGTTGTTGTTATAAGGATTTTAAAGATCTCCGTTGCATCCACCATTAAGAAAGCTCACCAAACAACTTTATATGCCAAAAAATTTGATCTGACATTGAAAGATGATGACATAAATAATATTGCTTTTTACTCTGCTTCATTTTTTAAGGAAACTAGCTATTTGACGTTATGAATTAAGACATAAATAGAAAGAAAGAAAGAGGTTGAGTAAAGAAACAGATACATTTTGTACACGTTCAACTTCTGCTCTTTCTTCTGTCACTTCTCTATATTGGGTAAATCAATAAATTTTTGAATTCAAATGAATGAGACCAAAAAAACATTAACACATAGATACTGTTAAGAAAACTCATTATTTGGCTGATGTTTACTGACTTTTTCTATTTGTTCTTTTTTAAACCAATCTTATTGTTCTGATGGCGAGTGGAGGAAATGCAGCGCTATAGTACGCCATTTTCAGGTTTGGTTTCAAAATCGGCGCACAAAATGGCGAAAAAAAGAAGCTGCCGATAACGCATTGGTGAAACGTGGTGAAATTATGGAATCTTCACCACAAAACAGTTCCGCGTCAGGAATCACCTCTTTTCTATCATCTCCAAACTGATAATTTAACTAGGTGCGGTTCGGCGCCCGTTCGATGCGTTTTGATACGGTTCAGATCGATTTAAGTTTGGATTGGTCCAAATTTGCTTTTCTGAGTTCAATCAGCGAAAGCCGAGAAATCTGCACTTTGAACTGTGTCGCAAACGGTAGTTCCGGTCGTCAAAAACAATTGTGTTTCGGTGACAAGTATTTGAACCTGTATTCCTTATTGCGGGATTTAAAAAAGTTTTTCATATACAAAAAAAGGAAAAAAGATGCAGCAAAGTGCTGAAAATTCGATGAAAAGTGGGATAAAAAATATGAAGTCTAATGTTGTGATATTACGTGTTCTTCTTTTCAGTTTCTTTTCTCAACTATTTTCTTCTTGATATTTCTTTACGGAACAAAACTATTTTTTTTTCTACTTGTACTTTTTCTTTTAAAATGACTTTTTGATAAAAATATTTGTGTTATTTTTGGTTTACTTCAACTTAAAAGATTTGAAGTTGCTCTACAACGGAAGAAACGTCTCTTCAACAGTTCCTTCAGTTGTTAATGGCTTTTTTAATGGCTAATATCTTAGTTCACTGTTTGCAGTAATCTTTTTTTTTTTGCCACTTTTCTGAAATACAATGTATTAATCGTCTAAAACACAAAAAACTATTTTGATCTCGTCATTCTTAATTTTACAGTTATTATGGAATTGTAATGAAAGTGACAATAATAATAGTAATATTGATAATATCAATTATAATAATAATAACAGTAGTAAAAGCAACGACTGTTATTATTATTATTATTATTATCATTATTATTATTATTATTATATGTTATTATTTTTATTACTATTGTTATTATTATTATTATTATTATTATTATTATTATTACACCTTTATTATTATTGTTTGAATTTATTGATAGTAAGTTTTTCTTTTCTTTTACATTATCAAATTATTTCTGAAAGCATCGTATTGTCGTTGTATTCACTAATACACTCTGTTTTGTTATATTATTTATCAATTTTTAGCGAAATCAAAGGCAGGAAATTCATCAATAAATTGTATCGTTTTTCTTCTTCAGCTTTCTAAACTTTTTTCAGTTTTGATTTCAAAATAAGAATGCAGAAAAAAAGAGCAAAACCGACTTGTTGTTTTTTTAGTTTTGATAACCTTAATTATTTAAATTATTTAACTTTCTTTTATATAGTTTTTTACTTTTTGAAAACAATTGAAATATTCAGCGTAAAACTGTTCAAAGCCGATAGTTTTTGCTTTTTTTTAGGTTATACTTGAGAACTAAAAATAGTTTCAGCTCCTATTTTTATCGTTGCCGTTGTTATTCTTCTCTTGTCTTGAAAGATCATTGAAATTAAGGAAAAAAAATTTTGCTGTTTTGTACTTTCAAATTCCATCTAAATTTACAAAGTAAATATGAAATTTTATAGATTATTCGGGGCATTGTCAAATGGACGGTAACGGTGACAAAATTTATTTCTGGTTATCAAGCCTCTTATTACTTTGTCTTGTTATTGTTTGAGTATATTAACATGTTTAATTAATGCAAACTAGACTGTGTTTATTTTTTTATTCTCCTTATCTTTTTCAAACAGTTAATCTTAAGATATGTGTCTTTGATCGTATACAAAACAAAATAACACAAAAATACAAACACAAATTGTGAAAAAAGATAGATGTGACAAAAATTTGTGCGTGTTTTCCATGTATTCGTGTTCACCAGTTTTTTTTTGGTTTGTGCAATAATGCAAAAGAAAAATTTAACTTAAAAACTGTCTCACTTTCTTGTTTTTTTTTTTCTTTCTAGTTTTTAATAAAATAAATGCTTTATGTAACCTTTGATTATCGTTCTCTCTTTTTTTTTTTTGTTGTCAATTTCAACCTGTATAAAGTCATTGATAAACAACAGCAGCAACTGCTTCGATAAGGTGAATAGACAAATGATTTATATAAAATCACAAAAAAATTTTCAGCAAAATGTTCTATTACAGTAAATTTTACAGATGTAACACCGTAACTGCAAAATTTGTTTTATTTCTTGACTGTATTTACGATACTCTACGGAATAAAACTGACACTAAAGCAAACTAAGAAAAGGGAAAAGGGGTATAAAAAACCTGCACATTTTTTAAGACTTATATCTAAGAACTAATTTTTTATATCAAAATTATGTGATAATTACAGGGTCTTTAGTACTCTAAATATTAGCTGGTTCAGTGAAGTAATTACTAAAAACAGGTTAATTGATGGCAGTGAGTAAATTACTAAAATTTGAAATTATTAAATAAGGTAAGATAAAATTTAACAAGAGGACGTTTGCTAGATATATGCGGCTTATGGTTCTTTGCAATTATAGTTTTTATAATTCTTCAGTTTTTTAAACGTTTTTCTGTAATAGCTGCTTAAAAATACCTTCAAAACTGCTACAGAATTGGTCTTCTAAACTTCAAAGTCACCAGAACACTGCTCCTTTAGACGTAACTGAATCAGTGAATGGAGGATGTTGGTCGAATCAGAGGAAGTGAAGAGATGCATCGGCTGGAATTTATTAGTACTATGCCGTCATCAACATAGCTAATGATCCTATTCTATTTCCATATTGAAACAAAGGTTTTTTGTAATCGATAAACATCTCAGTTTTTTCAATAATTATTCATCTCTGACTATTCGCTGTATCTACTTAGCTGCGAATTGAAGGACTATCAAAGCTACACAACTGTACAACAACTGTAAGTGGACAGTGCTGATAATGAACCAAAACCAACCACTTGCTGTATCCGCTTCTTTGCCACTACTTTAGAAATCGGAAGTTTTTGCTACTAACACAAAAAGAAATAGGTTCAGAGTAAAATTAGGACTTTAAATCTAAGTTTTTTGCTTTTAACTGCAGAAACTTTACCTACAGTTTTCTTCAATGAGAAAAATCTACAAAGCTTTTTTATTTAGTAATTCTTTTGCAAAGTGATGTATTTTGAAAATTTGAATTTTATAATTTTTCTTCTTATTTCTAACAATTTTATTTTAATTACACAAACCAAAGTTAAACATTTCTCTGTTTTAGTATGGTTGAAGTGATCTTTCATTTGTAATTTTCTATAAAACGAATGGTTAGCAAGGGTTGAGCAAACACCAGCTTCCATCAAGAAAAAGAAGCTATCTAACTCAAGTAGCTGTAAAAAACACTACTTTTTTGTTCGTAGAAGCGGCAGTTTTTTTTTTGTTCAAGTCAAAATTTTCATTAAAAAAACTACGAAACTGCTTTTTTGAATTATTATTTTCACAGTGCTTTGCAAAGTTGCCAAAAATTGTTGCGTCTATATACGGTTCACTAAAAAATGCTCACAAATGAGCAAAAATTATTGGAGGAAAAAAAAAAGAAATTTGAATCTTTCTCACTGGCAGCAAATTGCTTCTGCGAGAACGTTTTGCTCTGTACCAGAAACTTTCGACAATGCTGAATTGACTAGACAACTGAGCTAAATATGACGACAACTTTTTTATCCTAATATTTGTTGTAGAGCATTTCAATAAGCACCAGTAAAAAATTAATTTTTTTGGGAATTTTAGTAAAAGTAGGTACTCTTTTATCTTCTTTGTATATCAAAGTAAATCTTGGAAAAAATATTTGATATTATACACATTTTTCAAAACTTTTAACAAAAGGTTTTTTTCAGACACTGATATTTCAAGTTCATTCATAACTTTAGCAAATTTATTTGAATACAGATTTGTAACATGTTATTTGCGCAAAAGAGGATGACTGCCCACCGATTTCCCTCAGATGGAAACATCTACTTCGGACTCAGTATATTTTACGTAGTAATATCCATTGACTGTACATTTGAAACTTGCATCGTGTCTCCTTGTACCGTAGCCCACAATCCTCCACTTTCAGGCGGACAATAGACCCTCAGTTGTTGGTTATAATTAGTTGTAGAATGAATTAAGTTGCCCGACTGGCCTAAGCCTGAGAAGAACCTTAGTGTGCACGGTCCACCAGTTCCCATACAATTTGGAGTCGCTCGAAATTCTCGGTCACACTTACGATCCGGAAGAGTTTCTACTACGTAACCCCTCATATTAGAATCGAAAATGCCAGCAATGTCGACTTTGAAGATTTCGCAGTTGACACAGTCTGAAATAAAAACTGTTTAGTTGCAAATCTTTTTAAAGGAATTGAATAAAGAAGAGTTTATGAGAACCTGCCGATGTAGTTGAAGCACATGCATCAACATGAGAGTCAAAAATCACTACACTGAATGCTGCTGACAAAAGTAGCGAGACTGAAATAATTTTGTGGTTATATCATTAGAGAACTGTTCAGCTGATAAGTATTTTGTTGCCACCTTTTTTTATAAACTTAACAAATTCGCTTTTCTCAAATGTTACTGCTGTTTTTCTTAACTAGTATAATTTTTATTTAGCCATTTTCAATTTCTTGTCTTCAACCTATGAGAAGAATAACACGATGACAATTGTATGTCAAAATAGGAAAAATTGACAGTAAAATGTGGCAAAGGCATCTTTTGCTGATTAAGATTCACATTTGAAAAGCTATTTTTTTGAAGATGCATTATATATTATCAGCGAATCTAGATAGAAATAGAAAACTTTCTAGCTTGTTTGTTTTTACTTAACAAAGAAAATTATTGATTTTTTTTGGAGAAATTTTTGATTTTCCATTTCGCAGTATTGTTACTCAGTCTCATTCTTAGACAACAAAAACTGCGTTTCCTGTCACTGCTGTTTAATTTGCCTTAAACTCATCAATTAACACTGGTCAGAAGGCATTAAGATTTTGCACAATTCGTTATACACGTTGTTCTCCAGCTTTGAAATAGAGAAGAAATTAGCTCGCAAACTATATGTGACGAA